TGCTCGAAGAGGGAGGATCATCTGCTGAGAGTAGGGTGAATGGCAGCCTTGAGGAGAGAGGAGAAGTCTGGTGGTGGGGGAAGTGAGGATAGGGTAGTGAGGCAGTGAGGGGACTGAAGTGGCTTTCAAGCACCAAGGAGGGCACAGTGAACATTGAACCCCATGTCTTTGTTTTGGCTCTGGTGTGCACAGTTCTGCACTATCCTTTGGCAGTGCTCTGTGCCTCAGGAGTACACACTGATACCTGAGTGATCTTGGACAAGTCACTTCTCTGGACCTCAGGTTTACACATTTGTCAAATGAGGGGGTTGGACTGCATGCCCTCTAAGGTCCCTTCCAGCTTTAAGTCTGTGACTTGAGTCCAAAGATTGAATCATATGAATCTTAAAAGTTGAATATAGCATTTTAGTTAAGTAATCATCCAGTCTTTGTTTCCCAGTGGTGGACTACGTCCTAAAGCAATCTATTTCCATTTTTGACAGCTCTAAATTATATTAAGTCAAAATCATCTTCTCTGTAACTTCTACCTTTTGCTTCTGGTTCTGCTTTATGGGTACAAAGAATAAGTTTAATCCCTCTTCTATGACAACCTCTAATAATTATACCAAGTCAAATGTCATGCTGTTGTACCCTGCCCCCCTCCTCCCCCTATTCTTTTCTTCTTTGGGCCAAGTATTCACTCCCAGTTCCTTCAACCAAGCTTCAAGTAGAATATTTTCCAGTACCCTCACTATTTGTGATATGTGAACAAATAGCAGTAAAACAAGGAAGAATGTGGAATGTGTCATGAAATTATAGGAGTTTATTGAAGGGAGATAGGGCAGCCTTAATGGATATAGTGGTAAATAGCCGGGTCTTGAAGACTGGGTAGGATTTTGACAGGTACAGACATGAGTGTGGTGGTGGGGGAAGGCATATTAAGGTGGATTGAACAGTGTGAGCCAAAGAGGCAGGGGCATGACTGTAAGGCATGTTCCAGAACAGCCAGGAGCTCCGTTTCATGTGTGGTTGTGTAGAAGAAAGCAAAATGTGGTGTAAGGGGTGGCAGGAAAGAAGGGGATCAGAAGTGAGAAAGGAACAAGGGAGAGCCTTTGGGAAGGCACTCAGACCAATCTGAGGGTGACTGATAGGGAGGGCAGTCACTGCCCAAAGGGTGCCCCATATCTGGGACAAGCTGGGGCATAGATGGATAGAAGCTCATGCTGTTGCCAGTGATCCCACTTCCACTCCGCCAAATCCTTGTCGCATAGGTCTGCCTCCAGATCTAAGCCTTCTTGTTCTAACCCCAGGCTCCTATGCTTTCCAGTCAGCCCTTCTTGATCCCTCTTCTGCTGCTGAAGATCCCAGCTTGTATGTCTTGCACAACGTCACTGCCCTCTCTACTGGATCTGTGCCCATCTTCCTTCACTGCCCTTCCAAATGATTAAGATTCCTTATGCTAAGATCTTAGAACCCATCCCCACCCACCTCAAGCTGTGGGCTACTCAGAAACATGCCCTTTCCCCATCCCCCAGTTCCCAAGCTGAGCCCAGAGAGGGGTGTCCCCCCTCCATCTGCCCCCCTTTCCCATCTGATGACTCTGGCATACAGAAGTGGATCTCATTCTCTGGAGGGATGGAGAGTCCCATGGGTTTGAAGGCGAGCCTTTGAACCTAGCAGGGGTGAGGGCAGGGGTGCCATCGAGGGGAAGCATGGAATGCTTCTCTGCAGCAGGAAGGGGAAAGGGAAAAGGGAAAAGGGAAGAGGAAGAGGAGGAGCTGTGGTTGAGCCATGACGGGCTCGCTGTTTTCTCCCTCCAGCACCACTGGCCTTTGACACTGGCTGCTCCTCACTCTCCCCCACCCTGCGGCCAATGTGCTGCCCTAGAGCAACACCCCATGCCCCCTCTTGGGCTGGTTGCACTGAGTAATGGGCTGTCAGCTGCTCTACCTAGTGACCTCTTGACCCTCTCTGAGCCACCCCCCTCCCAAAGCTTCTTGACTGCTTCTCAGTCAAAGAAAGCATTGTGCCCCATTTTCCTGAGACTACCCCCCCTCAGTCCCTCTGTGTACGTAGAATCCTCCTGGGTCAGCACCCTCATCACTCTCTCCTCATCCAAGTCTTGTTCCCTTTGTCAGCCCCAGGAGCCCCCTTATTCATCCTCAAGTCCCCCAATCCTTGAGTCTGGGCTGCTCCCTTGCCCCCTGTGCCCTTTCCCCTGCTCCATTCCACTAACTTCCTGATCCTGTAAGCCTGCCTTCCTTACTCAGCTCATGTTTCTCCTTCAGGCAGTCTGGTCTTTCTCTTACCGCCTCCTGAGCCTGCTCTCCCTTCACCCCCATCATAGAATCTTGAAATTTAGATATGAAAGGAACCTTAGAGGCTAGCCTAATCATCTAGTTTAACCCCTTCATTTTACAGATGAGGGACTGTGGTCCAGAGAGGCTTAGTGATTTGCCCAAGGTCATACAGCTACTTAGTGATAGAGTTGGGATTTTCACCCAGGTCCTCTGACTCCAAATCCAGCAGCCTTTCCACCATATCATGCTGCCTTCCTTATGCCAGTACCTCAGGGCCCTTCGTAAGGTCCCTTAAACACCTGAGTCCTTGTGGGTGCCTTGACTAAAGCTCCTTATCCCCTCAACTCCTAAAAAGTTCTCCAGTCATTTGAACATCTCCATCACTCAGTCTTCAGTCACATCCCTCTAATTCCTGTACCCTTTCTGCAGTCCTTTCACTTTGCTTTAAATGCCCTTAAACTCTTTCCGATACTCAGGTCCCAGGGTACCCTTTCTCTCCTCCCTCCCTGACTTTACTCAATTCCTTGAGTCAAAAAACACATCTATGTTCAAATCCTGCCTCGGATACTTTCTAGCCATGTGACCTGGGACAAGTCACTAATTCTTTCTGATAGTTTCCTCATGTGAAATGAAGAAGTTAGATTTGGTGGCTCTAAATCCTTGATCCTAGCTTTTTCATCCCACCCTCCTGACTTAGCTCCCATAGAACCTCAGTACTCCAAGCCCTGAACTCCTCACTTCATCTCTTGGGCCATGATCTGAAACCCTAGAGCCAAAACTCCATCCTTAGCCCCTGGACAGTCTTCCTAGCCTACTGACTCCAGCATCTTCACCCTCCCTTTCTCAGTCTCCTGACCTCAGGTAAGTGGGTTAGAGCTGAGGGGCAAGATGACCCTAAACACTTCTTTCTATTCTGTCCTTTTTGCCCCTAGAGCACTGGCCTCCCTGAGCCATCCCTTAAGTTCATGTCTTCTGAAGATCTTTTGAAGGAACTCAGTTTTTAGCCTGGAGAAAAGATTTATAGGGGACTTGATATCTATTTTGAAATATTTGAAGGACTGTCATGCAGAAGAATGATTGGCTTTGTTCTGCTTGGCTCCAGGGAACAGAACTGAGAGCAGTGGGTACAAATTGATGAGAAGCAAATTTTGATTTTAAAATCTTCCTAAGAATCATAATCCTTATCCCAAAATGGAATACGTTGCTTCTGGAGGTAGTAGTTCTCCCTCTGTTTAGGCCTTCAGATAAAGTGTAGATTTGCCAGCTATGCTAGAGAGGGAATTCTTTTTCACTTATGATTTGGACTAGCTGGTTTCTAAGATTCCTTCCAACTCTGACATTCTATGCTTCTTCCCCTCCTGTAAATAAGGCCCAGACTTCCTCCAGCTTTTCTCACAGAATTCTGTTTCTTCCACCACCTGGTCCCTCCTCCTCATCTCATACTTACCACAGGACTCTATCCTGCCTTCATCCCTCCATCAGTTTTTCTAACACTGTTTAGGGAGGCTCTGTGCTATATTTGTTCTTGCCTGAGGTTGGTTCGAGGGGTCCCAGGTGAGGATGGTTTTTCCTAATCTGTCCCAAAATACTGGGTTTCAGGTCACTCCGCCTTGACCTTGCCAATGGCGACTTGATGGTCTCTGTGACTTTGGGCCTTTCTGACCCCCATCCTGTTTGCCTAGAGCATGCTCACAAGCCTTATGTTAGGGCTCACACAAGCAAGTGTGTTCTCCACTTATTCTTGGGCTTCATTTCAATTCCTGACCAGACCTGACCCTTTGCATGCTTTTACTTAGATGTTTTTTGGTTCCTTCAAGACTCCTACTCCAGTTAGAGTACTCCCATGTAATGTTTTTTATTTAATGCTATAGCTAAGGTAATGGGTACACCTGAGCCAAATGGCTATTCATATTCTTTTTTATCCCAGGTTACCAGCTCTTCATCCATTTCTCCAGCCAATTTAATTACTCATCATCCCTCAGATGCCCCTACGATTTCTGGCCAGGAAAGTGGTCTCTCAGAATCCAATTTTTACAGTTTTTGTGTTTGTTCAGTTGTTTCAGTTGTGTCTGACTCTTTGTGACTCCTTTTGGGGTTTTCTTGGCAAAGATTCTGGAGTAGTTTGCTATTTCCTTCTCCAGCTCATTTTACAGATGAAGAAACTGAGGCAAACAGGATTAGGCAACTTGCCCAGGGTCACACAGCTAGTAAGTGTCTGAGGCCAGATTTAAAATCAGGTTGTCCTGACTCTAGGCATAGTAGTGCTCTATCCACTGTGTCACCTAAGGTGCCCTTTTACAATTTTATATGTCACAAATACCAGTAATGTGTGGATGGGGATGCATCCCAGCCTGCCCATCTTTTTCTCTTGCACTGGTTGTCCCAGATTTCCTCACTCCATCTTTGCTTTCCTGCATACACTGAGAACCAGTTTTAGCAAACATCCATGTTATCAGAAGGAAGGATTTCAAGAAAGAGGGAGTCTGTGTGAGTGTCTGCTGAGTTCGAATGGGGAGGAGATACTATACTAAGATATTATTACTAAGACTATTTGCTGATTGAATCTGAAGGAACGTGCCCATGAAAACCATTTGGGGGAGAAGGATAAAGGGTAGAGAAGGCAGGTGAGGCACTCTCTGCCCTGTCCTGCTGTGCCTGTGAGTGGCACCTCTTATAGAAGAAGAAGGGGATTGACTGACATGTGTTTTGTTCTCCCTAAAGACTGGCCTGAGGGGGAGGAACTAATTGTCTGCATCATGGCGAAGCGGGAGGGCAGTACCAGCCCAGTGGTTCGGCAGATTGACAAGCAGTTCCTGGTCTGCAGCATCTGCCTCGATCGATACCATTGCCCTAAGGTTTTACCCTGCCTGCACACCTTCTGTGAGAGGTAAACAGCATAGGTGTGTGTGAATGTGATGGGGGAACCATGGTGTTCCTTTCACCTGCCTTTGACCCTGGATCCTCCTGCCTATATTATGATGACGCTGACACCTTTCCTTCCTTCTTGCAGGTGCTTGCAGAGCTATATCCCTGCGCAGAGTCTGACATTGTCATGTCCTGTGTGCCGCCAGACTTCCATCCTCCCCGAGCAGGGTGTTTCTGCTTTGCAGAATAACTTCTTTATCAGCAACCTGATAGAAGTAATGCAGAAGACCCCTGATGGAGGCCGTGATCCCACTGCCCCTCACCCACTCTGTGCTGTGGCTGGGCGTCCTCTCTCCTGTCCCAACCATGAAGGCAAGGTGGGCCCAAGAGAGGGCCAGTGAGGCCAGGGCTGTGCCTGTCTGGACAATACAAGGATAGGAATGGGAAAAGGGCGGGGATGAAGAAAAAAACAGGAGTAGGCTAAGGGGTAGTTGAGACAGTTATGGATAGAGAGGACTGGGGCCTCCGACTGGCTGAAGGAGAGACCAGTGGGGAAGACTGGGTAGGGGTTGGCTAAGAGGTTACTGGGGTGGCTAGCTATTGTAACTTGAGGGGCTGAGCTCCAGCCCATCAGTTTCTGCTTGTTTGCTCCCAGACAATGGAGTTCTACTGTGAGTCATGTGAGACAGCCATGTGTGGGGAATGTCGAGCTGGGGAACATGGGGAGCACCGCACTGTGCTGCTCCGGGATGTGGTGGAGCAACACAAGGCAGCCCTGCAGAGACAGCTGGACACCGTGCGCAGCCGGTAGGAGTGGTCAGGGTTTGCTGGGGCCGGGGGGAGAGGAAGGGCTGCTCACTCTCAGCCTTGATAGAATGTAGCAATGGATTCAAATCCTGCAGATAGCTTTGTAACCATGGGCAAGTCACGCAAGTCATATGTGCCTCTCTTTCCTCAGTTATAAAATGAAGGAATTGGACTTTGATGGTTTCTGAGTTTCCTTCTGACTCTAAATCTATGATCCTTTGATCCCTCACAGATTTCAGTGATAGCCTTCCTTGTCTATTCCCCTTCTAGGCTGCCCCAGCTGACAGCTGCCATTGCCCTGGTGGGAGAGATCAGCCAGCAGCTGGTGGATCGGAAGGCTGAGGCCCTGGCCCAAATCAGTGGGGCCTTTGAGGAGCTGGAGCAGGCACTGCAGCAGCGCAAGGGGGCACTGGTCAGGGACCTGGAGGCCATCTGTGGGGCCAAGCAGAAGGTGGGCTCCCAGCCCCCTTTCCCAACTTCTACTCTTAATTTGCCCCCCCCTCCCCATCCCCCCCATCCTGTTCCCTTTTTCATTCTCCCCATCCCATTCTCTTATCCCCTTCCTCATTTGGGTACTTCTTTTTCTCTGGGTCTGTCCTCAGCACTGTCCCCACTGTGATCCATAGTGCTTTCTGTGCCCTAATGGTATTTATTCCTGCTGAACCCCATAGGAGTGCCCCGTCTATGCCCCGTGGTGCTCTCCCTGCACCCCACAGTGCCCTCTGCATGGTGCTTTCCATGTGCCATCATGGTACTCCCCGTCCCATATCCCTATGCTCCGTGTCCCTGCTGTGCCCCAAGGTGCACTCACTATATCCCCCTGGTGTCCTCTGCATGTTACCCTCCCAGTGCCCCTATGGTACCCTATCTATGCCCCCACGGTGCCCGCCCCATGCCCCCAGGTGCTGCAGGCCCAGCTGGAGACACTGCGTCAGGGCCAGGAACATATTGGGAGCAGTTGCAGCTTTGCGGAGCAGGCCCTACGGCTAGGCTCAGAGACGGAGGTGCTGCTCGTGCGTAAGCAGATGGGGGAGCGGCTGGCGGCGTTGGCCAGCCAAGCCTTCCCTGAGCGGCCTCATGAGAACGGGCAGCTGGAGCTTCTTCTAGAGACGGATGGCCTGCGCCGCTCAATTCTCAACTTGGGTGCACTCCTTACCACTAGTGCCACAGCCCACGAGACGGTCGCTACGGGTGAGGGCCTTCGCCAGGCACTGGTGGGGCAGCCAGCCTCACTGACTATAACCACCAAAGACAAGGACGGGCAGCTTGTGCGCACAGGTAGTGCAGAACTTCGGGCAGAGCTGACGGGCCCCGATGGGGCTCGCCTTGAAGCCCATGTGCTAGACCACAAGAATGGCACTTACGAGCTGGTCTACACAGCCCGGGCAGAGGGTGAACTTCTCCTCTCTGTATTACTGTATGGGCAGCCTGTTCGGGGCAGCCCCTTCCGAGTGCGTGCCCTGCGCCCTGGTGACTTGCCCCCGTCTCCTGACGATGTCAAGCGCCGGGTCAAGTCCCCTGGTGGTCCCGGTGGCCACGTGCGACAGAAGGCTGTGCGCCGGCCCAGCTCTATGTATAGCACAGGAGGCAAGAGAAAGGACAACCCTATTGAGGATGAGCTGGTCTTCCGAGTTGGTGAGTGGCCTCCCTAGCCAGCTGCCCAGACTGGCATTTGGGGCTCATGCAGGGTTACTGGTGTGGGTGTGGGAGTGGGGAAGAGGAGCAAGGACGGGAGAGGAGAATTTGGCTCCAGGGCCTATTTTCATGCCCCCTCAGAGCAGTGCTCTTCCTACAGGCAGCCGTGGGCGAGAGAAGGGCGAATTCACCAACTTACAGGGCATCTCTGCAGCCAGCAGTGGCCGCATTGTGGTGGCTGACAGCAACAACCAGTGCATCCAGGTAATGATCATCCCTCAACCCAACCACCAGTTTATTGAGGTGACATTTCTTCTACCATTGTCCACCCACTTGTGTGTGTATCCAGGTAACAGCCTCCTCTAAAAGACCAGGGTATTCAGGTAATGCTAGCCTCACCTCAACCCACTAACCAGGATGTTGAAGCAATTCAGGTTTTCACTGGATGTACTTCTACTACCCAGCCCTTATTTTGCTGGGCACTCTGGGAAGTACCAAAAAAAAAAAAAAAAAAGCTAGAACTGAGCCCTACCCTGACTCAAGCATTTTTTGGCTAGGGAAAACTTGAATATGTATGTAGGCAGAGAGGTAGAAGTGAGTTGAAAGGGAGGTAGAAAATATGGGAGAGAATGTGGATGATTTTGAAAGTAAGACCATGAAAGAGTAGATCTTGATTCAAGGGGAGGGCCCAGTTTAATAGAATGAGGACATCTCTTCTACCTTTGCTCTCCTCTTCCCTAACAACCAGTGAGTAGAGCAGATGAACTGTTTAAGAGGGTCTGGGGTCTATAGCTAGGGAAGACTCTCCATTCAGTCTCTGCTTTCATCTCAGTCAACCATGTCCCCTTCTTCTTAGACTTCTCTTTTAGTCTGTCTCCACAAGAGTGTGATCTCTCACTATTCTTCCTAGGTGTTCTCTAATGAGGGCCAGTTCAAACTCCGCTTTGGTGTACGAGGCCGCTCTCCTGGGCAGCTACAGCGTCCCACAGGCGTAGCAGTGGATACCAATGGTGACATTATTGTGGCTGATTATGACAACCGTTGGGTCAGTGTCTTCTCATCTGAAGGCAAGTTCAAGGTGAGAGGTGTGCTTGGCTTATCAGTTTCCATCTGCTTCCCTGTGCTGAGTCTGAGAAGGGAGAAGAGATGAAACTATTTAGAAGTTAAGCAGTGGTCCATTAGGAGACTGGATCCACAGTTGAGCTGTGGAGTTAGTGAGAAAGAGTTTGCTAGTTTCTCCCAGCTGGTCTCTCTGTACAACTCCTTTTTTCCTGGACTCTTCTTGGTTCTGGACCTCCTGAGGGTTTCCTCTCTCAGAGCTAGGCCCTTTAGGCCCAGTAGAGCCCTCTGGTCTCCTCTACTCTCTAGTCTTACATTGCCTTCTCTCTCTTTCATGGAGCCTCGAGCCAAGGAGTCTAATAATCCTCTTTGGAGAGACAAAAGAAGAGTGAGATTGGAGAAGCCTTACTCTGCTTCTTTCTTGCTCTTCCTCTATCTTTTGGCCTCCCTATTTCTGTGCTACTCTGTCTGTAAGACCCTATGCTAGGACATGATGATTTCCCTACCTTTACCCTATCCTACATTGACCAACTTAGCCCCAATTTCCCTTTTTGGGCTTTTGCAGACCAAGATTGGAGCTGGGAGGCTCATGGGACCCAAGGGCGTGGCTGTGGACCGAAATGGGCACATCATAGTGGTGGATAACAAGGCTTGCTGTGTCTTCACCTTCCAGCCCAATGGAAAGCTAGTGGGTCGCTTTGGGGGCCGTGGTGCTACTGACCGCCATTTTGCAGGTAAGGGGGTAGGGTTATCACCAAGAAACCCTGAAAATTACTAAGAAATTCCCCATTACCCTGAGACTTTTTCTTCTTTGGAGACTCTGATCTGAGGCCACCCTATCCACACATACCTACTACCCTACTACCTACTATCTTCCCCACAATCTGAGAAACAGAAGACACCTGTACCTCACCGCCAAAGTCCTTACAAAGGGTTATCAAGCCTCTGCTTGATGGCCTTCAGACATGGAGAAGCTTTTCTTTATGTCAAACCTAAATCTTTTTATCTGTAACTTCTACCTATTGCTCCTAGTTCTGCTCTCCAGGGCCGAATAGAACAAATCTAGTTCCTTTTCTGTTTAGTCTCTTCTAATATTTAAAGGGCTGGGATCATGTCTCATCTCTCTTCTCTCTCCAAGCTAAATATCCAAGTTCTTTCAACCAATCCTCATGTGGGATGGTTTCCATTGTCCTCATCATCTTGGTCATCCCTTCTAGTTGTGCTCCAGCTAGTCACCATCTTAAAATATGGTCTTCAGAAACTGAGCAGAGCACTGCAGAGGTGATCTCATCAGGGCAGAGTAGAGTGAGGCCATCACTTTCATCATTTGGGAAGCAATGCTTCCTTTAATGTAGCCTAGGATCCCATTACCTTTTTTGGTTATGTTCTGCTGCTGACTTATTGAATTTGCAGTCTGCTAAAATTCTTAGATATCTTTTCCATGAATTGCTGTCTAGCCATGTCTCTCTTATCTTATGTTAATATAGCTGATTGTATGTGTGTATGCTCACGAGTGCATAGAACTTTGTATTTTTCCCTAATAAGTATCATCTTATTAGATTTGACCTATTGTTTTCGCCTGTCATGATGTTTTTGGATTCTAGCTCTTATTATTCAGTATGTTAGATATCCCTTCCATATTTGTATCTCAACAGATTTGGTAAAGATAACATTCATTTAAGTTATTGATAAAAAATATTAAATAAAACAGGGTCCAGGCTAGATCCCTAGGGGGCCCTGCTAAAGAACTCCCTCTAAGTTCATGTCGACCCATTGGTAGTTTCTCTTTGGGTTTGCTCATCATACCAGTTCAGATTCCACCTCACTGTTCTCTTATCATCTGGTCAAAAATAGCATACTTTGTCAAAATGCCTTGCTGAAATCCAAGTGTTTAGTCTCTGTAGCATTCTCCTGATCTACCAGACTAGTGATAGTCAAAATAGGGAAATGAGGTTAGTCTGGCACAACCTGTTTTTGACGAAGCTATTCTGACTCTTTGTGGTCACTGCTTCCTTTTTTTTAAATGCCCAGAAATCTGCCCCTTTAACATTAGGATCCAGAACAGGGCTTCTTAACTTGGAGTCTGTGAAGTTGCTTTTTAAAATATTTGGAAAACAATTTCAGTATAATTGATTTTCTTTGCTATCTTAAATATTTTATTTTGTGCATCTAAAAAAGTGATTCCAAGAAGAGATTCCTATATTTTATCAGACTGCTAAAAGAGTCCATGGCGCAGAAAAGTTTCAAGAACTCTGATGTAGAATTTTTGTCAGAGATCGATAAGACAATCATTGTATTATCAATTGGCTTATTTTGAAGGTTCTAACTTCCTTTTTTTTTTAAAATCAGAATGACATTTTCTCTTCTCTAGTCTTGTAGCACCTCTCTTGTTCTCCATTATTTTTCTTTTTAGAAAAGTATTATATTATTGGCCAACATATTTCACAAATAAGGTCAAAGAAAAAACCCTAATTATAAATGATTGCACATAAAACCACAAACTTCCATTATTTTTAGTTTGATTTTTTTAAAAATGTGTTTTTACTTTTGCCCGTGTACCAAAATCTTTCTGTTTTCATGTCCCCTTCTCATTTTCCTTTCTATGAATTTCTCATTTCTTTCAGAATCTTAGATACAGTTAGTCCAGGTTAAGTGCTCTCCTATCCTCCTGTTTGGGTTTCTACTCTGTTTACCATTATTTATTTATCCTTCCCAGTCCAAATATTATCTGTTGGCAAAGAAACCAGGAGCAGAATGAATTGATTAGTTCTGTCTTCCCTCTGTTGTCCTTTATCACCATCCCATTTACTCGAAGCAGCAATTGTAAGTGTGTGATCACAAGCATGTCACTTAACCTCTGTCCATCTCAGTTTTCTCATTTGGAACATAGGGATAAAAACAGCAGTAACCTCCCAGGGTGGTTGTGAGGATCAAAAGAGGTGCTGTGCTTTGTAAACCTTAATGATCTCTATAAAGGTCTTCAAGTAAGATTATTATTTTCCTTTTGCTCCCAAGAAAGCAAAAAAAAAAAAGACCCTTTTACTTCTTTTTCTTGGCCATCATCAACTTCAACTCATTCTGAGCTTTATCACTACTGACATTATTTTTGGAGAATCATGCCACTCTTGTATTAATTATCAGATAGCTATCTCTGTTTTTACTTTTCTTGTCATTTTTAGCATCTGAGTTGGTTGGTGTTTGTATTATAAGTATTTCATTCTTAAGAGTATTCCTTCTTTTGACCCAGCAAAAAAAATCAAGCCATTGGCTCCTCTCTCTCTTTCCAAGGAGTACTTTGAAATATATTCTGTCAAACAGAGGGTCCCTTCGTTTGGGCCCAACTTTCCCTCTCCTCTTCTCTCAAGAATTTTGAGATAGAGTGAGTAGTCCTATCCTGCCAAGATTCTTATCATTTCTACTGCAATGCAGTTAAATTTAATGTAATCATTTGTTAAATACCCTCTGCCTGCAAGGTGCCTTGTTGGACGCTAGGGATACAAAGAAAATACACAAACCAGATCTTGCCCTCAAAGTGCTTATAATCTCCTGGGGAAATACAACATGTACAAAGATAAGTAAATATGAGAGAATTTAATGGGGAAAGGGGATTGGGAAAGGCTTCCTGGAAGAGGTCAAATTGAATTAACATGACTTTCTCTGAAATTGACAATGATAGGAATCCTTTTAAATTGACTTTCTTTACATAATTCTTTTCTTGTTTTTTTCCCTAGCACTTACTCAAAGCTTTCCCAGGGGAATATCTTCTTATTATCAGAGAACCATTAACCCTCATCTATTTCTTTTAGTCTGAGATTTCTGTTCTTGTAATACACAGAAGCAAAATACCTTGGTTTTGTGTTTGTGTGGTTTTGTTTTTGTTTTTTTGTGAGGCAGTTGGGGTTAAGTGACTTGCCCAGGGTTACACAGCTAGTAAGTGTCAAGTGTCTGATCTGAGACTGGATTTGAACTCAGGTCCTCCTGACTCCAGGGCCAGTGCTGTATCCACTGCACTATCTAGCTGCTCCTGTGTTTTGGTTTTTTTTTAGTCTACCTTAGAAGGCAGACCCAGAGTTAAAAAGAACCATAGATGTCACTTAATCCACCCTCCCAATATTTAAGTTTTCCATTTAGTTTCCCTAGCAGATGGTCATGAATGTTCATATCAAGTATAACAAACAAACCAAAAAACCTTTTTTGTCAATTTTTAAGACTGCCTCCAGCCTAATCACACAACCCCATAATTCTCAAAGTTTAATCTATAGTCTAGCTTCTTATGGTACTGTATAACACTAGAATTATTTGTTATTTAAGTGAGTTCCTCCACGTTGGTTGGAATCAGGTCTATATAGCAATTTTCTTAATTGCTTCCTTTGCTTTCTAAAGAATGAAAGTATCATTAAGGCAAATCAAGCATGTGTTATAAGAGAGAGGAGTCCAGCAGATGTCCAGATAGTTGGGTTCCCACCCTTTCATGTGCCTTTTCCCCCTTTCCCCATATAGGTTCACCCTGTTCACCACCCTCCACTGTGCATGTGAGTGCACACACACACACACACACACACACACACACGCCTGCTGTCCTTGGACCACCCAGTGAATCTCTGAGCAATTTGTGAGGGCTATTATCCCCATCTCTGTATAGAAACTCTTTCTTACTGCTTTTTCTCTCCTGTGTCTTAAGGTCCCCACTTTGTTGCTGTGAATAACAAGAATGAAATTGTGGTGACAGATTTTCATAATCATTCAGTGAAGGTTAGTGACATCTCCACAAGCATCCTTTTATACCTTCCCTCTCCTTCATACACCCTGGATCTCTAGGCCACCCTTCTCCCATGACTCCTTTCCTTCCCAAAGTCATTTCTCCCCCCCCCCATTTCCCCTAAACTCCACTCTCCTCAGCCCCCCACCCAGTATCCCCCATAATGGATATTTTTGAACTGGCTCTAAGTCCTCTCCCATCCTAGGTGTACAGTGCAGATGGAGACTTTCTCTTCAAGTTTGGCTCTCATGGCGAGGGTAATGGGCAGTTCAATGCCCCGACTGGCGTGGCTGTGGACTCGAATGGGAACATTATTGTGGCAGATTGGGGAAACAGCCGCATCCAGGTGAGTCCTTAGGGTCTCCAGTCCCTGGAGTTCTGGGAGGTTAGGGGCAGGGGTCAGGCTGAACTTCCCTGACTTTCCCTCTGCCCTACAGGTATTTGACAGTACAGGCTCTTTCTTATCCTATATCAACACCACTGCAGAACCACTCTATGGCCCCCAGGGCTTGGCACTGACCTCCGATGGCCATGTGGTAGTGGCCGATGCAGGCAACCACTGTTTCAAGGCCTATCGCTACCTCCAGTAGCTGCTCTGCTGACTCAGACCTGGATGGATGGACAGATGGACACCACCACTCCAAGGATGGGATGGGCCCAGGATCCTTCCACTGCGGGCCAGATCAGGGAGCAATGAATGTGGGAGCCACGTGCCCTTTACCACCCCAGGGCCTTCCCCAGGGATCTTCTCTCCATGTTCACCAATTGACCTTTATCTCCTCTCTCCCCACCCCCCTCTCCATCCCTTCACGCTGCACTTTATTTATTCGGTTCCTGCTTTGGTGATTGAGGTGGAAGGAAGGCTATGGGGGAAGTGACCAGGGCTGGGAGGCCTATGAAATCTCCCTGAGCTTACCATCCTGCTGCCTGCCCACTTACCCACCACCCACATAGTTTTGGTTTCTACAAGAATGTGCTAAGCTTCACCCCTAACCCCCAGTCCCACTTAGACCTATACCCCAGGTGGGGGTCTAGACCCTCTTTAGGCCTGGTCTTAGCCCCATCACGTAGATCAGTTGTTGCCAGTTCTTCTGGCCTGTCTCCAGGAGGAGCCTGGGGCCTTCTGGCTGCCTCCAAGCTGCATCACAGGGAAGTGCTGTAGGCTGGCAGGCCATGGTTGCCCCTCTGCCCTCTCAGACAAACTGACAGACAGACAGTAATATCCTTGCCCGGTCCGCTTCAATGTACAAAATAAACGGTCTCCGTGGCTTCCATTTTGATCCTTCTTGGAGGAGAAGGGGGATAATGTTGGTTTGGGCACCTCCCCAGCCCAGGAACATGGGGTGAGGAGGTGGGCCAGGGGCCCTAAAACAGGGAAAGAAATGGGATGGAGGAAAACAGGCAATTGTTCCCTCAGACCTTGACTCAGAGTGTGTTGTGGTCTCTGAGCAGGCTCTCCTGATGGAGCTTTGAGGTTGGGCTGTGGTAATAAGGGAGAGGGTTGCCTCTGAGACTGTATGTCTGCCATTCTTTTCCTTAGTTCCCTATCCCAGGCCGTGGTAGGGGACCTGAGAGGATCTGGAACCTGGAATGACATAAGGTTCCTAGCAACATCAGAACAGTCACCACCTGGGTGGAGATGAGGTTAGGAATGAAATAAGCCCACAGAGCCATGAGAAGAAAGGTCCTGGAGAGCAAGTTCTGGCTTGTTAAGATGGGCCAGAGGGGTATGATGATAGAGAACTGTGGTAAGTGGGATAGATGCCCTGGGCATCTTGTACCCTGACGAAGGTGGGTTTCCAGAATTAACTTTATAGACATAACCCCTGATATTTGGGCCAAAGCAATGGGCAAGCCCTCTAGTCAGGCTCCTAGGAGGTGCCTAGGTAGTTCAGTAAAAGTGTGAACAACCCAGACTTAGGACCTAATTGTGAGGGTGTTACCACATGTACACACACACAGCCATACTCCTTCATACAAAGAGTGAACACCAGAATAGAAATTTAAAGGAATAAAATGGAATAAAGTTCTAGAGGAAATTACGTATGGATGAACTTCTATAATCTGGGAAGGGACTAGTTTTTGGGTGGACTTGTTTCTAAATGAGGTGCCCTCCTGGATCCCTAGGGGCATTCTTAGGTTATATAGTAGACTCAGCAATATATTCAAAAATGGTTGGACAGTAGAAAGACAAATAACTATTCTTTCTTTGTGAGGAGCTTGAGGTTGGCAGGGGAAAGAGTGTGTGTGTGTGTGTGTGTGTGTGTGTGTGTGTGTGTGTGTGTGTGTGT